TCCTCCCGAGACCTTCTGCTTTCCAGCTCCCTCATCAACTCCTCCCATGCTCACCTCCAGGACTTCACTAGAGTCTCTCCCATCCTTTGGAACTCCTTAACCCAACCTGTCTGGCTATCTCCTTCTCTGACTACCTTTAGTGCGATCCCTAAAGACTCATCATTTCAGGGGAGCCTATCCCACCTCAACCTAACCTCTGAACCATCAATTTCCTAATCAACTCATCCCCACACAGCTACCTCCTCATGTATCACTTGCCCCTCCCTTTCAGATTGTAAGCCCTCAGGGGCAGGGCCCTCCTTACCATCTTGTCTTAACTTGTATTGTACATCTGCCACCTTCAGAATGCTGACACTGTGACCAGAGCAACAGCGGTTGCCTAGGACAATGGTTACCAGCAGTCACAGACACCAGAGGCAGCAAGTAATCGGCGGTATCATTCACCAGTGATAGCGGTTACCCCCGGCAAAGACATCTCCCATCGCAGAGGGAGAGAGATCAGAGAGCTGGGAATCACAGAGGATGCTTGTGGCCACCCCTGGAGACGATTCTGCCTGGATATGATGAGCAGCTGTTAACCAGTGACTTGTTACCATCCTAAGAGCACTCCAACGATTCATACACACAGGCCTGTGCAACATACAGACTCACTTCTTCCCAATCCTGCAGTGTATGAGTTAACTTTGGGACTGAGCCGCAGGAACGTTCAGTTTGCTGAGGATGTTATAAGACTGTAGGTGCAGCTACCATTATTGATTTATATCTACATTATATCTGACTTGTTTAAAAAATTTGACATAAAACCGTCCATGAGGTGTGCTGTGGATCCATTACAACTGGTGTATCACAGAGGTGAGACCAGAAGACCCGTTTATCCAGCGGCTCCTTCAGGGGTAAGTGCTACACATTCCTACTTAGCTCAGAGTTAAATTACCTTGAACTGTCTAAGTCGTAAATGACCTGAAATGTGCAGAAATCTGTGACTGTCTTAGGATTCACATTGTAATTAAATGACCAATAGAAACTTTTAGTCTAAATGCTTTATAGAGAGAAGGTGAGAGAGGTCCAAGTATCTTCAAATTATTACAAGAGTTATCCTAGGAATGTGCTGCAAGCTGGCATCAGGACTCCATGACCAGCATGTTAACTTAGGTGACCTTCTATATAGAGTCCTATGTTATCCTATCATGGTAGGCTGCGCATGCTTCACTTACATGGCCAGCATCTATTGCTATTTGGGGAATAGGCTGTGTTCAGATGGATGCCATCAACAGAGGCCACATCTAATATGTCTAATCTCATTCTACACAAAAATGTATTGGAGGAACTGCAAACATAAGGAATTTTAACAGATACACAAACCGTTTAAATAGGTCTCCTACATTCAGGGGGTGGATGCAGTTCGGTTATAGCACACACCCAATGCAGTCCAGTTAGAGAACACACAATGCTATCAAGTTAGAGAACACACAATGTAGTCCAGTTAGAGAACACACACAATGTGGTCCAGTTAGAGAACACACACAATGCAGTTCAGTTAGATCACACATAATGCAGTCCAGTTAGAGAACACACACAATGCAGTCCAGTTAGAGAACACACACAATGTAGTCCAGTTAGAGAACACACAATGTTGTCCAGTTAGAGAACACACAATGTAGTCCAGTTAGAGAACACACAATGTGGTCCTGTTAGAGAACACACACAATGCAGTCCAGTTAGAGAACACACAATGCAGTCCAGTTAGAGAACAGACAATGTAGTCCAGTTAGAGAACACATACAATGCAGTCCAGTTAGAGAACACACAATGTAGTCCAGTTAGAGAACACACACAATGTAGTCCAGTTAGAGAACACACACAATGCAGTTCAGTTAGAGAACACACACAATGCAGTCCAGTTAGAGAACACACAATGTAGTCCAGTTAGAGAACACACAATGTAGTCCAGTTAGATCACACATGTCCTGTAGGTCCAGCAGGGAGTAAGTGGATTTAATTTCTTTTCACTTCATGTCCTGTAGACCTAGCAAGAAGTAAGAGGATTTCACTTTACTTCCTGTCCTGTAGATCCAACAGGAAGTGAGAGGATTTATCTTAGTTTCATGTACTATAGTCTAGTCAGAGAACACACAATGTAGCCCAGTTAAAGAACACACAGTGCAGTCCACTTAGAGAACCCACAATGTGGTCCAGTTAGAGAACACACACAATGCAAACTGGTTAGAGCACATGCACATGTAGTCCAAATAGAATCCACATACTGTACATGCAAACCAGGTAGAGCACACATAAATGCAGCCTAGTTAGAGCATTCACACACATGCAATCCAATAAGCGAACACACAGCAGCTTTCCAGTCCAGTTCATACGCAAATGCAAAAAAGCAAAGTCTCCAACCCCACAAACTAACAAAAACACAAGTCAGTTGCAGCTTCGTATGACAACGACGCTCGACCACACATATTAGGTATTGCCGTGCATGAGTAAAAGCAATATGTAATTCTAGGGCCATTATTCACAGTTAAATGTAAACTGATGACCTGTAAAAGATTTTAAAGTGTCGCCGATAAGACAGTTTTGCATACCATATTTTTTTTGCCACGGCACACTCAATTTTGAAGCTTGACAAGTGTGGTCTCTATTTACTCGCTGCAACCTCCTCTTTTATATTTTACCAGAAAATTAGATATTATATTGTGCTTATGTGTACTAAAATAGTTTTTTTTTATTGAAAATTTGGTTTTGATAAACAGTTGAGCATAAAAAAAATTGCAATTGCCACCATTTTATCCTAGAGGGTCTCTGATTTTAGGAAATCTGCATTGTTTCTTGGACACCATCCACAGGATTGTGGCTGTTTGATGAGATTTTATGACTTACACTGAGCATGTGCTTTGACTCATATACGTGTTTGCTTGACTCATATACGGTGGATAATCTGCAGCTTTTGTATTCACGGTGAACACTCCTCCAATAACAATGTCCCCATCATGGAAGTATTCATGTTCATCCTTAGATTCACTTATGTTGAAGTTACAGACTGTTGCAGACATCCTCAGAGATATTATCAAGCACAGCATGTAATATAAGTGAGCTGGAAAAGACGTTTGAAACATAATTGTATTACGACGTATCATCCACTCCATTATAATGAGGGCTTTTTCATGGGGCCTGTAACAGTCATCAGAATGATCCTCCATTGTGTGTATCCCAGTGACAGTACAATGAGCTGACTCCTCTCCCCCTCCCTTTATACAGTTCCGTGTCATACATCTCTATTGTGCTGAATATAGTGATATTATTTGGTTACATTTAGCTTTTCCAAAGTTAATTTGTAGATTAGATATGGTTTAAACTGATATACTTTTATTTTTTGAGAATCACTTCAATTAACATTTCTTATAACTTTATTGTTAGGAGGCAGTGACTGACATGGATTACATTGCTGAATACATGATTGATGAAAAATTACTTCCGGGATTGTTAACTTTATTGTGTGCGTTTTTTTTAATTAAAGCACTTTTTAAGGTGTGTGTATGTTTATTTACTTTTAACTCCTTGTAGGAATAGATATGGGGTATCATCAGTCTCCATTATATTACCTCCCCCTCTTTCTTCAAGAAGCTCTTCTCCCTCCACATTGCGACAAATATACTTTGCAATATACTTTGTAAGGGGGAAGTCTTTCCACTTCCCTTTTCCCTTACAAGATACCCTCCAATGTTGAAAGGCATGTGGCCTCCGTCTGCTGGCCACCCAAACTGTTTGCCTGGATGGAATAGTAACAGAAGTCCTACACCTTTTATTTCTCTTTTCTTATATTATTGAATTGATACTTCAATGAATCATATTGTTGGGTTGCAGTACGAAAGCCAAGACAATTGTAAAAGAAAAGGGACAGAGTTGAATAATAAGATTCAGCCCCCATAAAGAATTTATAAAAAAAAAAAGATTCAGCCCCCATAGATATTAATAGGGTGCGCCACTATGTTCGGGGTGTGCAGGCTTTAATCAGGCTGTAATTAAACCGTTTGGAACGTAACCCAGGAAGACTCATCCATAATCTTGGCTGAAAACAGAACCTAACTCCTTATCTTGTCCTACAAATCATCAATCAGTAAGAAATACCAGAAATTCAAACATAACATAATTACAGCAGGGTCCAGGACACCTCGCATTCTACACTCTATATATCCCGATGCTGGGGATGTGATTCCTCTCTAGGAGACCTTTTTAAACATTATGCTAATCTAACAATATTATTCAAAATTCTGAATGCACACCCAAACTAAAGAACCATTGTTTCATTTTTTTCCTAATCTATTACAATACATCAGGGTATGTAAAACATTGTTATAATTTACATGGTTAGCACCACAAACTTCTCTATCCTTGCTGGAAAATACCCATCAACTCTCCCAATACAGTAATTGTTTCCTCATAATTATTTAAATCAAATTAATGGAACATCTCTCTAGCTGCATAAAAGCTGCTAATTTAAGATTTTATACCACCTGGCTCTATTTGATTTAATATTCCTTAACAGATGAGTATTCATAGGTCCTATCCCAACAAACTTTATACCCTCATACCCTATACCCTATGACTCATTTTAGTACCCCCCCTTCCTGCTACAAATCCAACATTATATACATTATGGTTACCCTACAAATTGCCTCTTTCACTCCCCCCCCTTTATTTCTATCCTACTGATTGACCAAGCTCCATACATGTCTTCATATAGGACTGTAAATGGTCATTAGCAACTCAAAGTAAACCATGGCACTTTCAGTCAGTCTTCTGTACCTAAGGAACGGACGGGGCGGGTACAGCTGGCTCTGCCTCTAGATAGTCAGAGCCAGCTGTCACTCACGCAGGTGTGCGGATCTCGACGTCTAAGTATTCCCAAACATTTGGAATTTCTCTCCTACACTGATGATATCTCTAAGGCATTGGCATCCAGTTCTGTGTTGCTTTGTCTTGTGACTCTCTTCATAATGGGAATCTTTATATCCTATGTGGATACCGCCATTGTCAAAGCTAATAATCGGAGCTTGAGCTTTGTCCTGCTTGTCTATATCATGTTGAGCTTCCTCTGTGTGTTCTTGTTCCTTGGTCATCCACTGGATATAACCTGCATACTGCGTGTCACCACTTTTGGTATCATCTTCTCTACGGCTGTGTCCTCTCTTCTGGCCAAAACAATCATGGTTTACATTGCTTTTACAGCCGCCAAACCTGGCAGCTACTGGAGGAAATGGATTGGAAGCAAACTTCCGAATTCTGTAGTATTACTGCTTTCATCTGTTCAGGTTATGATATGTCTTGCTTGGTTGTCTGTATCTCACCCGTTTCAGGAAATGGACATTTATTCTTATCTGGACAAGATCGTCATTCAGTGTAATGAAGGGTCAGTTATCGGGTTCTACTCTGTGTTGGGTTATATGGGGTTTCTGGCAGCTGTGAGTTTTGTTCTGGCTTTCATGGTGAGGACATTACCGGACAGTTTTAATGAGGCCAAGTACATCACCTTCAGCATGCTGGTGTTCTGCAGTGTCTGGATTGCCATGATCCCGGCCTATCTGAGCACTAAAGGGAAATATATGGTGGCTGTAGAGGTATTCACCATATTGGTCTCAAGTGCTGGACTTCTAAGTTGCATATTTTTCCCAAAATGTTTTATGATTCTTTTTAGGCCAGACTTGAACACACAAACAGATCTGCTTTCTAAGAAGCATAGTCCTTTGATAACATTTTATTAGTAAAATAAATCAAAAAATGCAACTGCAATTCTATTACTGCTTACATAAATATAAAAATCTAATTGCACTTTTGGTTACATTTTCCTTGTTCAGCAGGTTGAATAAAAAATATATACCTATGTATACCCAACTTTCCTATGAGGACATCTAGAAATAGAGGGGGGACACCAAATAATGGCTATGATCTCTTCTCCATGCATATGCACTCCTGCTGGGATGTGTCTTCTCCATGCCGGGCTCAGTGCTCCACATTTCTTCCACAGACTGAAATTTTTAATTTGGCATTCACATCATGTAATAAACATTAAACTTTTGTCCCTTCCTGAAATAAGCTAACTTGCTATTCTCTGCTTCCAATGATGACACTACCAATACAAAGGCTAAAAGAAGTCATAGTCTTATTTATTTATACAGAAATATAAAATTACATAGTAAAAGATAAAATGGATACAAATGTAGATTATCACTAAGACAATAAGACAAAGACAATAAAGCGAATACTTTATGTAGCAAGTCCGCCCCCCCGGTTCTACGTCTTGGCTGGGCTCAGAGAGACAGAGCGATATGGCTGAGCACTGGCTTTTATAATACAAAGGACCCATTCATACATGTATGTCGACACCCCTTTACCCAGAAGTCCCCAGGCCCCTTATAGGTCTTTCGGCCAATCGGCATCTTCCTTAAACTCCATCAGTGATAACAGAAGTGCTCCAACAGGTGGTGCCATGGTACTGCAGGCAATTCCTTGGTCCAGGTCAACACCTTGCCCTTTGATCCTTAGGTGATTGACCCTTAGATGCACTGCAGGATATCTTGAGGGGTTTTTCCCATGTGCATATTACCCCCATCAAACACCACAAGGGTGCTATGCGTGAACTGCTTTCCAGGTGATTGGATTTCTCTTTATCATCACACCTGCCATACCTCTTGCAGGGATGAATGCCACGACCTCCAGCACTGATAAACACAGCTGGCTTCTTTAAAGACTCAAGTACCGTATTTTGCGGTCCATAAGACGCACCGGACCATAGGACGCAGGGAGGTCCGGCGCGCCTTATGGAGCACTCGACAGACTGTAGCTTCTGTCACAGCTTCTATGACAGAAGCTGTGACAGAAGCTGCAGTTAGTGACCGCTGAGACAGGTGGCGCTGTGATTACAGCGCCACGGTATCAGTGATCACACAGAGCAGACAAAGAAAGTCTGTTCTTCGTCTGCTCTATGGTGATCTCGATCGGCAACGCAGCTCGGTTTTAATACGAGTGATCTCATTAGATCACTCGTATTAAACGAGCAGTAGCTCCTACTGCTGAACTTGATCGCTGCTGCCGCTGCTCGGCTTTAATACGAGTGATCTCATTAGATCACTCGTATTAAACTAACAGTGGCTCCTACTACTAGCCCGGCGCCCGAAACTGCATGCCTCGGGCGTCGGCATTCGCTCCATAAGACGCAGGCACATTTTCCCCCTCCTTTTGGGGGGAAAAAAGTGCGTCTTATGGAGCGAAAAATACGGTAATCGAAGTTAAATTCACTCTGTGAAGTTAGATGTTCGATAGATTTAGTATATGAAAAATGTTGTACATTCCAATACATCATACATGCCTGGCTTGGCTTTATCATTGAATCAATGTGCAAAGTACAGACACATTGTAGGCTCTGAATAAGGTCAAATTTGAAGAATCGATGCAGCAACCTTTGTAGGTAGTTTTCAAATCAGATAAGGATTTATTCAATACACACCTTTGGAAAACTGACCCATATAGTGGTTCATAGATCAATTATTTAATAGACATGTACGCCGACAAATAATTTGTTTTGTTTCGCTTTGTTTTGATTCAAATTTTACGTTATTTTGTTTTTCGGGATTCGGGTCCGAAAGTCAATTCATTTTGGGATTCGGATGAAATTCGTTAGAGGTAGTCTGTACAAACTTTCGTTGCCCTTTCTTTTTCGTTTCATTCGTTTCGTTGCAGCAAAATGACAATTTAAAAAAAATAAATATGTTTTTTTGAATGTCCCTTTGCTACAACGAAAATTTGTCCACAAAAGAAAATTCGTACCGAGTACCGCTAACGAAATTCGTCCGAAATTTCATTTTCGGAAATTCAGATCCGTTTTCATTCGTCATTTCTGTTATTTGGAAATTCGAATACATCCGAATCTCCGAATAACGAAAATTCGTCCGAAAAACACATTTTTCCGTAACAATATCTAGTATTTAACATACACTGAGTGGCCAGATTATTATGACCACCTGCCGTTTGTAGGCAAATGAGCTATAATTTGGCGCTGAAGTTGCTAGAGGGCCAGACCATTATAAATAGGGAAGTGGGTTGGTTACCACGACAGTAGAAGTGATTTGTTTGTGAAGATTCGGGGAAACAACGCGATTTAACCGCCTTTGAGCGCGGGATGATTGTTGGCGCTCGGAGCCATGGAGCGAGTATCAGCAAAACAGCAGAATTCGTTACATGTTCAAGAGCGGCTGTTGTTAAAATGTTTAAAGATTGGACTGTCAGCCGAAAATTTGGGTCTGAGCGTGCGAATTGTGGCCGTCAGCAACTAGTCAATCTTAGGGCAGAACGGGGGAGGGGCAAGACTGGTACAAGACAACAGAAGGGCAACAGTGCCGTGTCAGATTCCTCGCATCACCTTTCAACATCTCGTGGAGTCACGAGGCAGCCCAACAAAGTCATCTTGTGGTGTCATCTCGTGGCCCAACGAAGTACTGATGGGGTGGTCATAATAATCTGGCCACTCAGTGTATTGTATGTATAGAACGTGATCGTATAGTGGAATGTCTTTTCACCTGTCATTTTAATTGTCATATCATTCACTATTAGTAGTGTACCTTATCTTTTACCATTTTTACTTTAGAAGATACGTTTTATAATATGTTTTATTAAGCATAATATTACATAGACAAAATGGAGTCTGCAAATGTGATTCAACAAGGATCATCATTTATCTCTACACGTTTCCCCCCTTTGATCAGCGCTGATCACATTTTCTCATTCATCTACATTAGCGTGGAGTAACGCAAGTGAAAGGTGTATATAAAATGGGAGTTTATAAGATGGGAGTTTCTATCACCTCGCTTGTGCAAAAACCTGAAAACATCAATTAACCGATCTTATACACACGTCCTTACCCAGTGATCCTCTAATGCAGAAGAATATTCAATAAAACTTTGTTCCTTACTAAACCTCCTAATTTTAGACAATGTACATTCCTCTTCCTCTACCGCCACGCATAAGCCGGAGCAGCCGAACTTCCGGACTCTCAAAAATTTGGGAATAATGGGACAAAGTCTCTAAACAATCACACCAGACATCTTTTGAGTATTCTTTCACCAGGGCCAGTTTTCTGGATCTTTTATCCATTCAAAAAGGACAAAAGCGAATGTTGGCCGCAAAGGAGAGTGATTTTTCTAGGACCATTATATGATGTTTATTCAATTCTATTTTTCACAAATTACACATTTTCTTTTTTGCCATCTCCTTGCTGTTTACCATCCACAGATGAAATTCTCTGGATCTCTCCCAAATCTTTTTTATATTTTAACTATCCACAAGGGTCTTGAGCATTTTCCTTGTCCATCATATAGTGTACGTGTTCCTTTGACTTGTCTTGTACCCTTATATACCCATTGGTCTCTAGTGGTA